CGCTCAAGCCGTCTAGCTCGTCGGCATCCCCTTCAATGCGAACCTTGTCGCCTTTTCGTCTCGACTCGCCTCGCAAGGACTACTTCGGTCTCAAGACGATCGAGTACACTGACGCCGAAAACGAAGCATGGACAAGAGAGAGACGCAGACGACTGAAAGCTCAAGAGCGCAAGAAGCGACGTCAAGTGTACATAACGAAACACGTCGCCGCCATCCTGTCTCGGCAAGAATTTATCCTGAAGCTCGCTCGCAGCTTGATGATGTTTGGCGCACCGACTCACCGGCTCGAGGCTCAAATACATACTACAGCCCAGGTTCTCGAGTTGCAGCTGCAGTGCATCTATCTGCCGTCGGTAATGCTGATTTCCTTCGGCGACGACGTGACGCACACCTCCGAGCTCAAGGTGCTCAAACAGCCGCAAGGACTCGATCTTGGCAAGATGCATGACACGTTCAAGATACTGAACAAAGTCGTCCGAGATAAGCTTGGTGTGGACGATGCCTCGGCTAAGCTCGACAGCGTGCTCGTTGCACCGCCAAAGTATAGCTTGTGGCAGCAGCTGCTCATTGGCGGCATTGCCGGAGCTGCCATCATGCCTTCCGCTTTCTATGGCTCGTTCATCGACTGTGTCGCGGCAATACCTCTTGGAGCGCTGCTTGTCGCAGTCCAAGTTGTGGCGTCACGCAACGATATGTACTCGAGCCTTTTTGAGTGAGGCGCGCGCGAGGCAGAAACCAACAGCTCTGAGCTGACAGTCTTGAAATAGGATTGTGATCGCGTGTCTGAATGCGATCCTGGCCGGAGCATTGGCTCGTTCCAAGCAGTTCTGTTTTGCCGCCGTTGCGTCTGGCTCTGTCGTGCTCATTCTTCCAGGCTACATCGTCCTGTCCGGCAGCTTGGGTGCGTCTGAGGGAAAGAAATGCTACTAAGAACAGAGCAAGAGAAGCTGACGGACCTTGTATTCTCAGAACTCGCGAACCGTTCCATCATTTCCGGCTCTGTCAGGCTGGTATACAGCGTTCTTTACAGCTTATTCCTCGGCTTCGGTCTCAGTCTTGGCGCTTCAATTTATCAGCATATTTCTGAAGATGTCATCGAGGTGCGCCAGCGAGGCAGCAGCTCTTTTGGACGAAGGCTAAGCTCTTGTATTTTCGCTGCCACAGGGAGCGTACGACTTTACCTGCTCAGCGCTTCGACAAGATGCGCCGTGGTATCGGGCTACGATCCCGCAATGGTGGTGTGCGTTCCCCGTTGGGAAAGTGGCTCACTATCTGACCTCTCTCTGCTCTTCTTTGCTCGCAGACTTCTTCACGGTCCCGTTGTTTCTGTTGATGCTAGCGCTGCGCAACGGTCAACCTTTGTATCGTCGCGAGACCGTTGCCATGCTGCTCGTCGGCTCCGCTGGTTGGTGCTGCAACTTTTTCTCGAGTCGAGCTTTTGTTGGCAGGCCAGACATCAACTCGGCCATCGGGGCCTGCGCGACAGGCTTTCTGGGTAACGTGTACGCCAAGTGGACGCATGATAGTGCTTTCGTGATCATGGTTGTTGGGTGAGTGCATCCAGAGCACATTCTCAGGAGCTCGTCTCTGAAACTCGCTTTTGCAGCATCTTTGCTCAACTCCCATCCGGTCTTGCTAATGGTGGATTGCTGCGCTTCGCGTCAGATTCGTCAGGCGGATCGTCAGAGGCATACACAACCGCGTTTACTGCGGCACAATCGCTCGTGCAAGTCGCCATCGGCCTGACTGTCGGACTGTTTGTCGCCACGGCATGTGAGTGATTGCTCCCTGTTCATCGCGCTCGCCAAGTTTGACATGGCTTCCCTGCAGTGGCGAATGTCATTGGCGGCGGTCGACGACGCGGCGGTCATCTCTCATCGCTCTAGATTCTTCAGCATAGAACTACCAATCTAGATGTATCCTACTATAGAATGTCACACTGTTGTTCCTTCTCTCTTTGTTGTATCTCAGAATGGGCTCATGGGCCATAGCTACAGTTCATGCTGGGCGGATCGCGCGGGTCGCGACTTGGGCGACTGGCAGAGCTCTCCGTGTATGACAGCATCATGGGTATCTGCACGCCGAGTGTCTCATCCACCAGGCACATCAGTAAGTCCTATGGCTGAGAGCATTTGGATTCGATGCGAGTGGCGTTGGGGACCACTTGGGTCTAATTCTGTAGCCCTATGCTGCACTGTCTGCATGTTGCGGGTACCATGGCAGATGGACTGGTCTGGACACAGCACAGCTCGGGCACGTGGAATGTTGCATTGGTTGAGCCGTCACCGATGCATTCCCGTTGGCTTCCTCGAAATGGTGTGGCGCTGGGGCCACGCCGCCGTCCTTGGCTTGCCCACTCGGGTGGCGGCGGATCACCTCTGGAAGCGCATGACGGATGCACTGCTGGCGGCGCAGCGAGGAAGAACAATTCTGGCTTCATGTTACAAATACATCGAAGAGGGGATGCAGATACCCTCTTCGATGTAATAACCTGATACAATGCTTGTTCGTCGAGTACTTGGCTGAAGCTCGTTTGTACACTTTATAATTCCTACGGGTTATTCGGTCTTAAGGTAATTGTCATGGATGTCATTAACCATGGACGGGCCGCTTCCAGCGCGTACGATTGTGCCTTGGCTCGGCCTTCGTTCGAGATCGCCCAGACAAAAACCCCGCCGGGGCGGTGGGACCCCGCTCGGCATCAAACTGGAGCGAGGAGGAAGAGCAGCTTAAAAGAGGATCATCAGGAAGACACGCTTGTTTCCCTACTTACATCCCGTCGTACGGCGACCATGGAGCAGAACGCGTCCATGTCTTCAATCGAGAAGTCTGCAGAACAGCAGGTTGAAAGGCAGCACGACGAGATAGCCGAGGCCCAGCAGGTCACGGCGAGATCCTGGCTTTTTGCTCTGCTTGGCGCGATGGTGTACGTCGCTATCTCATTTCATCTGTCTGCCACAGCGATCATCAGGACGTCTTGGGCTACGACCTTCAATCAAGCGGGTTTGAGCGTTTGGCTCGTAAGTCTTTCTGTGGAGACTCTTCGCCACGGCGCCTGACGATTACGGCCAACTGTTAGATCAACACGATTTCAGTCTTCCAAGCATGCCTGGGTCCGCCACTCATGTTCTCATCCGATCTCTTCGGCCGTCGAAACATCCTCGTGGTCGCCACCGCCATCGCGAGCGCTGGTTGTGCCGTTGGCAGCAGAAGCACCTCGTTCGGTATGGCCGTCGCAGGGCAAAGCATGGCAGGCGTGGGCATGGCTTGCGTCGGCGCTGCATATGCTATCCCATCGGAAGTGTTTCCTCGCAAGTCTCGCGGTGCTGTTCAAGCCATACTTAGTGTTGCCGCCTCAGTGGCTGGAGCCGTTGGCGCGTTTGTGGCTGGAGCGCTGCTCAAAAATGATGCCGCGAACGGATGGCATAAAGTTCTCGTGAGTTTGTGTTTGAACCATGTATCCGAGTCTCCGTGGCCGACGATCCCTTCCCCCGCAGTACGTCTCCACTGCGCTCTTCGGCACAGCTTTCATCTTGCTGGCCATTTTCTATTTCCCGCCCGCACGCAAGAACCAATTTTCTCATCTCACGAGAGCTGAGAAATCCGCTATGCTCGACTATGTCGGCTACGTCTTGATCATCGCCGCGCTTTGCACGTTCTTGACCGGAACAACCTACGGCGGCATCGTCGGCTGGCGCGCTGGCAAGACTCTCGGCCCTCTTATCACCGGCATTGTCCTGATGATCGTGTTCGGTGTTTGGGAGTGGAAGGGCACACGTCAAGGCTTGCTTCACCACGGCATGTTCAAAGGCGGTCGAAACTTTCCAGTCGCGCTCGCAGCCATGGCTCTCGAGGGCGTCATCTTCTTCAACATTCTGGCATTTGTTCCGGTCGCTGCTTCCGCCTTGTGGCAGCCGCAGGACAGCTTCCTGGCCTCTGCCTACATCGCGCCATTCTACCTCGCCTCCATCCCATTCTTCTTCCTCATCGGCTGGTATACGTACAAGTTCAAGGATTTCCGTGGTCCCTTGATTGTTGGATATGCTATCTATGTGATCTCATGCGGTGAGTCTGCCATCCGAGCACCGTGTCGAGGGGTTGGATCCCATTGACTCGCTACGCCCGATCAGCTTGCCTTTCGACGGCAGGACGAGAAGACGGCAAACTCGCCTGGGTCTACGTCACATTGTCTGGAATTGGCTTCTCTGCGCCAATCTCTCTACTGGTAGCCGTTGCTCAGCTGGCTGTGCCCGGTGAATTCATCGGCGCATGCTCGGCATTGATGGTGTCAGCTCGCGGCCTCGGCGGCTCGATCGGCACGGCGATTTATGGTGCAATCCTCGGCTCGAAGATCAGTGCAAACATTGCCAATAAAATTGCCGAGGGAGCCTTCAAGGGCGGCCTCAGTCCCGCCAACGCGCCACAGGTTCTGCCGCAGCTCATTCCGCTCGTCGCCAGTCAAAACCCCGGTTTGATTCAATCTGCGTTCCGACTGCCCGGAGTGACACCGCCCATGGTGCTTGGTGCCGTTCACGGAATGCAGGACGCCGTCGCTGAAGGTTTGAAGGTGAGTCCGAATCAACTTGCTCAGCGCCAGCGACAGCGGGACTGACTTTCTTGCTCTACGCAGTACGTGTTCATTGCTGGTGCAGCATTCGCAGCTGCTGGTGTTCTGTCCATTTTCGCTCTCGCATCGTCCAAAGAGAGCCTGACTGCAGTCGTCGATGCGCCAGCTCAGGAGACAGGAGACGCTAACAAGGCTTGATCATCAGTGTGGAGCAGTCAGCAATTATTGTATCAATTGAGGTGTACTGGGTGATGTAAGATATATGCCACCGATTGTCATATTCCTTGTCTCAGCTGAGCCATGTAGAGGCGCCGGCTAGGCGAGGCTCGGCAAAAACGAAATGAGTGGAAAATATACAGCTCTTGTGCAACCACAACCAGAAAAAAAAGCGTAAGAGGGGATGCGATCCCGAATCCCCGGAAAAAAAAAGACTTGCCCAGTGGCGGGATCGAACCGCCGACATCAGACTAAGCATGCGAACATATTAGGTCTGCATCATAACCGACTAGATCAACCGGGCTTGACAGGCCGACCTAGATTGACATTTATATTTATAGGATTTAAATTCTCACATGATTACAATGCCCGCAACTCGTACATACGCGCAAGCAGCTCGAACAGCTGCAAAACGACCTCCAGACAAAGACCCTCCTTCAAGCACCCCTCTGGCGACAATTTTTTAAAGGCAACCATGCCACATCAGAGCTACGCCAATGCCGTACAGCAACCAAAGCCACCCGACTTACAACATCCAACGCATTACACCTTGTTGACCTCGACGAGGGAGTACGCCTATCGAGTGACTGCCCCATCAAGCTGCACACCCCTTGACCTCCGAAAGGGATTTGCGGCAGCTTTCCCCGACCTTCTTACATCCTCTTTCTTCTACGAGCGAGGCCAATGCCTCCTGCACGTCCCTGACTCCGCGACAGCCGAGGCGAGGACGCGCATGGAAGCGGAAGGCTTCGTAGTCAACCACTGCACAGTGTCTTTGACACCCTTGCACCATGTAACGGGTCCACTGACAATCCTTGAAGGCCAGGTAACCGGCCTCATGCCCCAACAAGATGCCGTTGCCGAGCTTCGGCGCATGTTGAATGACTACGGCGTCGTCCTACAATTAGTCATCGACAAATGCAAGGAGACCAACATGTCTCTCGGCACTGCTCATTTTGCTTTGAGTATCACTGACAAAGACAAAGTCCCTCCCCGTCACATGAAGATTCTTTATGCCAACTCAGAGCAACACGTCACCGTTTCCGTAACGGCGAGACTGGGCACCCAGTTTTGCCAATACTGCCGATCTACCGAACATCCTCGCTCCCAGTGCAAGAAAGCCCCTCAGTGCACCAACTGTGGCGAACGCACTCACCATGTCCTTCACTGCCGCGCTCGAAAGGTCGCTCCTCCCCCCCACCGAGTGGCGACAGGCCCCGCAACTACCGCCTCGCCTCCAGCCCCAACGTCCACCACTACCGCAGTTTTACCTGTGACAGCGTCCTCAGGTGCTCCTGCACCTACTCCTCTTGCTCTAGCTCCAACGTCCACCACCACCGCAGCCGCACCGACGCCATCGACCTCAGGCGCAAACAAGAAGCGCAAGCTCCCAGGAAGATCGCCTGCAAAACGACACCAAGCCATCAACTCTGGCCATGGCTTTTCCTTCACACCCAACGCCTTCGCAACCCTGTCTCAGGCTGAAGCTCCCGCGCCTCGTACCTCCGAAGGAGGAGACAATGATAAGGGAACCGAAGCTGACCCCACACTTCCCCCTGATCAAAGCAGTCCGGGCCCTCCCGCGCCTGCTACCCTCGAGGAGAACGATGAAGTGCCACAGAGCGCTGCGCCACTTGCCCAGACCGGGCAAGCATCCGCGCCCCCAGCGCCCGCAATCCTTCCGCCCAAGGCACCGGGGATCGTTCCCGGCAACCAAGCCATGGATCAGGATGCCTAGTCGCCCGAATTTCAAAGTTATGCTCATCAATGTGCAAAGCATTGCAGATGGGCGCAAACGCAATCAATTGTTTTCCCTGCTCTCTCGACAACATGCTCACCTTTTCATCCTCACAGAAACAGGCGGACCGCGAACTCAAGCCGAGGCAAACCTGTGGACTGATGATCTGCTCGCTTACGGTTTCTCCTCCCATTTTGTCACACCAGGGCAGGTGGCCCTCGCCTGGCAGACCGACTACCCGGGACTGTCGATTATCGAGAATTCACTCAACTCGGCGACCCGAGGCTCTCCCTTTTCCGACCGCGTCATTGACGCGACCTTTGCAATCGGCGACTCGCTCACCACGGTCGTCGGAGTTTATCCTCATTCCGGACTTGCGAACCGCGGACCGCGTGACGAGTTTATGGAAGACCTTACCCGAAGACTTCTCAACCGGCCGGACCGCGACAGCAATTTGCTCGTCGGCGGTGACTGGAACTGCGTCGAAGATTCGCGGATAGACTCCAGTAACGCTCAGGAGCCTGACGACGGGGAATCCATGCGTGATTTGGCAATTCACTTAGGGCTCACTGACGCCTTTCGCCACCTTTACCCACAGAAATACGCCGCAACAAATTTCCCCTACGCGCCCGGACATGCAGCACGGCGGCTTGACCGCTTGTACATCTCTGGGGGCTTACTCCGTCTCTTCAAGCGCCACCATATCTCGCCGCAGAATGCGCTGGTGACGTCAACCCACTGTCCTGTAGGCTTCCACTTTGATTTACCAGGCGCGGTTGAGATCGGACCCGGCAAGTTCAAGCTTGGTCTGTATCTGCTTGATGGCCATGGCCCTTTCCTCCGGGACCTGGTAAGACGTCTACACGCTGAGTCTCTTGCCTCTCATCCACACCACCCGTGGCGAGCTTGGCTGGCCACCAAGCTGGCTCTTCACCCTCATCTCACACAGCTTGCTCGCCACATGTCAGCCTTCATTCGGCGACACGACCCGCGCCAGTTCGAACGGAACGGTCATGACAGTGCCGCCTTACGAGCTCGCTTACATCCGAGCCTCACGGGCCACAGCTCGCTCAAGATCCGCCTCCGGCAAGTCCGGCAGGGGGCGCTGATACCATCCTTCACCGAAGGGGACCGTGAGCTCACCTCGCCGAGCGATATGCTCGACCATGCGAGACGCTCTTTTCAGGACCTCTATCAGCACCGAGGCAGCGACCTCAACAGTCGAAGCGATGCTTTTCGCGAAATTCGCGATAAACAGCGTTTGCCTGACGAAGCAGCTGCTTCACTTGACCGAGATTACAGCATCAACGAGCTTCGTAAAGCCCTCAGTCAATGCAATAAGCTGTCGAGCCCAGGACCCGATGGCCTGCCTTTTCAGTTTTACGTGGAGACCTGGGAAGTCACCGGCCCAATTCTTCTAGCGGCGCTGAACTCCCTCCCGGAGCAGGACATCCACTCGATGCCGGTCACCGAGTCGCACATCCACCTGCTCCAGAAGGACGCGCCCGACCCAACCCTGTTGACCAACAAAAGACCGCTCTCGCTCATCAACACGGATGAGCGGTTCTTTAGTCAGGCTCACAACCGGCGCCTGGCGCCACAGCTGCTGTCGATCGTCCAGAAGACACAGACCGGTTTCATGCCTGGCCGCCACATTGACGAGAACATAGCGTCTATGCAGTTGGCCATGGATGAACCAACAGGTCCCGAAGGATTCACTCAGTCGCTCGCTGATGACGCCCTCGTGGCCGTTCTTGACTTTCAGAAGGCTTATGATCGCTTGTCCCACGAGTACCTCGACGCGGTCCTCGCCACCTTTGGCTTCGGACCCCGCGCCCGACAATGGTACCGCTGCACGTATGCAGGGCATGCTGCCCGCGTCTTCATTAATGGCTGGCTGTCCTCGCCTTTCGAACTCAACTCTGGCGTGCGACAAGGCGACCCCTTGGCGCCGAGCCTTTTCGCACTCGCCATCGAACCGCTCGCCGCACTGATTCGAAAACGGGTCTTCGGCCGACCATCGACTCACAAGGTAGCAGGACCATATCGAGGAGTGCCCATATACCCGAGGGGGGTTCGGGCCAATCCTGCTCGACGACTGCCAGACAACCGCGTCCCTGACCGGAACCTGCGATTGCGAGAGCTACTCTTTGCTGACGATGTCGCATGTGGGCTCAGGGATCACGATGACGCCGCACTTCTTCGACGCTGCATTGAGGAGTACTGTAGAGCCAGCGGCAGTGCCCTCAACGCAGCAAAGTCCTTCCTCTATGCC